AAGCAGCCCCTACCCCTCAGCCCCCACCCCCCCCCATTTCCTGTCTGTTTCTTCAGAGCTCCTCTCAATCTGAGACTGACCTGTTTTGTTTGGACAGTGTTGAAGAATGTGGTTTCAGTGAGCACTAGACTTAACACACATATTTTCAGCAGCGATGCTAGCAAAGCCACAAGGTTTCTCTCGCAGATAGACTGTTAACTAAGAAACGTCAACCCTGACTTCTTAGTTATTCATCATGTGGTTTTAAACCTGAATTTTATATTTCAATTCACATGCAAGAGAAAGACATTTTAGGCTTTAATGTTGTAAAACATTGTTAATCAAAAAAGACAGTTATCTTCGCTGCAGTAATTTCACTACTGAATACTGACAGATGTAATTCAGTTCAGCTTGTTCACCATCTTCATGATGACACAAAACAGCTTTTTCTTAATGACCTGAGCAACAAAGTCATGAGGGTCACATGTCCAGATTCTGTAGCTAAGTTCATGTTTGGCCCAGAGAAACATACACTGAGAACTTTCATAGAGAATATGTGTAAAGTGACTCTGCCCTTCTATGTTTATGTTGATCCACATATCACTATTCAAACAGAAACTAGGCAAAAGGTCTGAGGATAGAGGAAGTGGTACACAATGGCCTAGTCAATAGTATTGGCAGTGAAACTCTCATCATTCCAACCTGGGTGTCCGGCCCACCTCTCCTCCCCAAAAGGTTGTGGATAACAAGATTAGAAAGCAGTTATATGCTTATTTGCTTTCTTGCAAATAAAATTGATGCTACTCTCATATCTCTTTGCTAAATATTTAACTAAAGCCAGCAGAACTTAAAGCCTGACTCAAAGGTTACTCAATCTGCTGTTCAGCGCTTCTCAATGATTAACACCTTATATTTACATGGTCTGAAATAGGTTTGGTGTTTGCCCTTGTTTCCTGGCAGGCACGAGCCAGAAAGATTGAGAAACCCCTGATGTATATTAAACCCTGGCTATTGTTAGTGAATGGGCTAATCCACTGAAAAACGTATCCCATGCAAAGTCTTCAATTTTCTTGATCCTGTACTGTGGTGTGTGTTTTGTGTAATAGGGTTGTTGCTACCATACAGTTGCTTCCCCTTGATTTAGGTTATGTGGTCACTGTAATCTAACAATGAAGGGTCTGTGCTCACAGCAAGAGTTAGGGATACCAGGAAACACTGATACATATATATATATATATATATATATATAGGAGACATCTGGACATCTGGAAACAGTGTTGAATAAAAACTGACCGAATATGATGAACCAGTTCTTTCATTTATCCCCAATTCCTGTACATTCATTTCACAGCAATCACATAATCACATAAATGTACACATAAAGATTTCTGTTATTCACTGACCTCCCACTCTATATTTTCGTGACCCAGATGACAGATCAGATGCCCTGGTCAACGGAAAAGGAGCAAAATATGTCCCTGTCCCGCAAAAGAGCCTTCCCGACCTGCCGCCTCCCAGAACAGTAAGTGATTACCAGCTCGATTCCATCAGAGTGGATTAACATGTAAAATGATTTGGCTTAACACACACACAGCGTTTTGAGTCCCTGCCACTGTGGTGGGAATGGTAATAGCATAATTGACCCCAATAGGGCTGCTGAACTCAACAAAGTACATGGGAAAGTTCAGTGGAAATCATGATATTCAACGGTATGCTGAAGGAGCCCAAAGACAAATTCCAACTTTAAATGTAATTGACATTATTTTGGTCTTTTGTTACTGTAAGCAAATTATTATGACTAGGCACTGTAAGTAGGCAAAACAAAGTCCTATGGATTAATATCACATGTTGCCAGAGGATTGCATTGGTTTTTAATATACTAAAACACATGCAGTCTGTGGTCATACAAGCCAAAAACATTTCCCACAACCCTCAGAGTTACAAGCCTGAGGCAATGTGAAATATATTCTCCCACAGACACAGGTATTTATACTACTCATGGGGCAACAAACCTGTGGAAGTGAGTATCCAAGAGTGTGTGAGAGTGCTGTGGTGTGTTTTATGTTGACTGGGAGGCCGGTGGCTCCTGAATTGGCCCAGTGTGACTTCAGGAAAAACGTAGAGAATGAGAGGTTTAGAACATCCCGTCAGTGCCTTTGAACTTTGCACACAGACACACACAGTGGCCTCCCCTAACATAAACTACGGTAGCAGCTGTTGCTAATCAGAACAAATCCTTAGTGTCAGCACGTGTGCATGTGTGTGTCTACTGTACAAGTGTGAGTGCTTGTGAAAGTGAAGGCACTCAAATGAAGAGCATTTGTGTCAGTATGAAATCTGGGTCAATATTCTTAGACTTATATTCTAGTTTAGAAACCCTAAAAAACATGCCATTGTTTTTCAGCTTAGCAGTAATTTTACAGTTGTAGTATAGCTTCCACAAATCCCTCAGATGTGTCTGTCAAAGTCATTTTTCCTTCCTTCCCTTGTCCATCCAGCTGTGGTATAACTGGTCCCGTCTTGGGAAGCCTGAGTAAACACGTCCACAGTGAACCACTCTTTGGAAACCCCTTCATCTGCCTGCGAGGCTTCCATCCATTTCCAGTGATGGTGTATTCAAGAGTTAGCATGTGTTTCACCGTGAACACCGAGTCGCCCCTTATCATTGCAGTAAACAGCGCCCCCTTGCTGTTAATGTAGTGTCCCGGCATGGCTGTCCACTGGCCCGTCGTAATGTTGTAGCAGTCCATCAGACAGCGCAAGAAGTCGTCACACGGCCCGTTGCGCATCACATACAAATTGTCCCTGTGAGCCACCATACAGTGGCCATAGCTTTGTGGTTTGATCATTGTGGTTGCAAGTTTCCACTCGTCTGTCAGTGGTAGGTACTCGTAGATATCTGTTGTGTCTGGTGGTTTCCAGAAGCAAACAAACATCCGCCGCCTTGCAACAGCACAAGCAGCAGATGCTAAGGGTCTTGGTGCATGTTTTATAAAAGTCCACTCTCCCTTCTCAATGTCATAGCTCTCTGCAGTGGAAATGGTCTGTTTTTGGTATTCTCCACCAACTGCATAGAGTCGACCATTATATCCCAGCAGTGTGAAGTCATATCTTGGTTGCTGGGGACCTGGAAGAGCTGTCCAAATCCCCGACTCGGGGTTATAGCAGAAGCTGCTGTCCACTGTGTCCTTCCCATAACCGTAAACTCCCCCCACAATGTATAAGCGATTGTCAAGCACCGCCACTCCAGCCATTGATGTGCTACAGAGCGTTGGGAGGTTCGTCAGATGCTTCCACTCTCCTTCTTTTTCATCAAGGTAACAAACAACCCTAAATGAGTCGTGTAGCATTTCCATCGAAGGCGAGTGTGTGCCTATAGCAATATAAGAAGCAGGAGACAATGTTTGAGAATATTGAAGAAGGTCTTCAGGAATCGTACTCTCTGCTGCTTCCTTCAAATCCTCAAAAGCATCGCAAAGGAACAGAGCAGCACTGTGAAAGAGTGCATGCACCCCATAGATGGAGGCTGCATGGTAAAGCAAGAGGCAGTTGTCTGAGTCAATAATGTCACAAAGATGCTGCACCAAACACCCCACCTGCAGAAAAGCAGCACACTCTACAGCTTCTACGAGCTCATCCGGGTCACTGATAGTGGGAACCTCTCCCCTGCACACAGCAAGGGCAATGAGGAAACCCCTTGCATGCACTCCTCCCTTCAGGTGGAGCACGTCCTGTTGAGTTTCTATCATCCCAGAGTGAAAGAGAGCACAGAAGTAGCTGCTGTGCCTCGCTAGCAAGGCACGCTCCACAGTGAACCAGCTCTCCTCAACCCTCACTCTCACCCAGCCCGCCTGGTGCTCTCTGCGCTCCAGATCAAGAGTCGCATTCTCAGCATGAATGTCCCGGCTGACTCCCAGGCCTTCGGGCGCTTCCATGATCTCTTAAACCCAGGTCTTTTCTCTTCCTGGAACAGGATCTCAAGTGACAATACAGCGTGTGACTCGAGTGTAGATTAGCCATTTTTTCCCCAGAACTGGACGGTAAATAAAGGTTTGTGAGAGTTCCATTGCGTCCTGTCTGCATGGTCTGAAAATAGAGTTGTACTATAGATAGCAGCTGTGGCACTTGCAAGCGTCAGGCAAGGAAAGGAAAACTGTTGACATGCACAGTAAGCGGTAATGTGGCTTCAGGCAACTGGTGATTATCATAACCGCAATATAACTGGCTAAGTATTTGCTGAATTATTCATGATTACATTATATGCCAGCATGGCCTCTTTAAATCCAGTTTTGTTTTACGTGACTATTTCAATTTTATACATGTGTATTTACTTTATTTATATTTATAGTTAGTAGTCGTAAACATTTATGCATACAAATGGAGGGGGAAAACCAAAATCTGGAACCAAAAATATGAAAGGTTTAGAGGAGGTAAAAGTCTTCCCAAGAAGATATGGAATGGAAAAATAAGTACAGTATGTACACAATCGTTTTTTCTGCCTCCTACCGTGCAGCCGTTCATTTCCCTTTTTGTGTTTCATTTTCACTATGATTGGAGTAGTTTTCATTTTACATTGGTGTTTCCATGCAGAAATATACTGTGTTACAAGTGGTGGAGAGGTAGCAAAGACCTAGAAAGTCCTCCTTAATCTAGCCTTCCAAAGCTGAGCTACACCGATTATTTTTATCACTACCTTCTCCACTACTCTGAGCTCCCAAAAGGCTCTCAGATACACTGTGTGTGTGTGTGTGTGTGTGGTAGCTCTCCTCGTCGCGTGTGTGTGTGTGTTTTCACTGTGCTGGATTCTTGGCATGGGAACCAGGGATTTTCCATGTTCCTCTGACTGTTCGGTTTTTGGGTTCTTTTTCCCACTCTTTACTCAAAGCCCCTCCACCACACCCCTATTCCTCCTCCGCGGCCCCTCTCCTTGCTTTGTTATTTATGCTTTGACTCCTCGATCCATTCCTTCTACCCAATGTTTCTGTGGCGAGAGTGTTCGTCTGTGTGCGTGTGTGTGTGTG